TGGTTGAGGGCCCTGCCTGCACCCCGTCACCTCCTTTCACTTACAGAGCAGCCAGACCTTGGTATCCCCTGGCAAAGGGGTGCCTGTGGCCCTTGCAAGCCCTGCAACCGAGGTCGAACAGCTCCTAACCTGTCTGGTGGCAGATATGGGTTGAGAATTAAATTTTGCATCTTTAACTCGTATGAACTTGTTTCAAGCCTAACGCAGTGGGTCTCGGTAGCCTTTGGGAAAAGGGGTTCCTGTTTCTTTCTCTTTCCCAGGCAGGGGGGAAAAAAAATCCCAATATCTTGTCTGAATCTCTTGTTCTTATACCTGCTGTCTCATCTTGCTGCTATGCACCACTGTGAAGAGCCTGGCTCTGTCTCCTCCATAACCTCCGTGTAGGTGTTGGCAGGCTGCTCTGAGGTCTTCTTTAAGTGTGGGGTGTAACAACAGTTCTCTTGCTGTCAGGGATCTCCCCAGATCTCCACAACCCTTTAAAGAGTAGCCCAAGAAGTTTGGTAGAGTCAGCACCCATGGGTGCAGCTGTTGAGACCTGTGGACTCATATGTGTCAAATTTCTGAAGTAATCCCTGGCTGAGTCACCATCCTCAGCCAGCAGTGCTAGTTCTTGAGTTCCTCCTCTCAGTATAGAGGCCTGAGCAGTCTTGGTGAAGGCTGAGGCAAAGACAACATTGAGTGCTTCAGCCTTACCTTTGTCTGCTGGCACTAAATCAGCCCTCCCTTTCAACAAATGGCTCACATTTTTCTTAATCAGCCTTTTACCAACAGTACAGTGGTAGAAGTTCTTATTGCCCTTATTTTTTTTTTCCTTGCAAGTATCAGTCTCACTTTGACTTTCCTGACACCTTCCCTGTATGTCTGGACAGTATTTCTAAATTAATCCTTTGTAGATCCTCCCTGCTGTCATCTCCTGCATGCTGTCATTTTGCTTTGGGGCTTAGCCATAAGACCCCTGTTTAGCCAAAGCAGTCTCCTGATACATCTGCCTGTTTACTCAAGTTCCGAGATKAACTCATCTTGTCCTTGGAGCATGCAGTCTGGAAGGCCTGCCAGTTTTCCTGAGCATCTTTGGCTTTCAGAGCTGCCTTCCATGAGATCCCACTTGCCAGTTCCCTGGTTGAAGTCTGCTTGTCTCAGCTCCACGGCCTGCTACTTTTTCCKTATTACCTTCCTGAGTGGGGCTCTGTGGGGCACAAGACAAGGTTTGCTGAGGGACGTGGGAGAAGGGCTGGGGCCTGGATATGGCCATGGCCAGGAGGGTGTGTGGCCATGGCCAGGAGGGACATTAGTATCCCCCTTGGCTGAKTGGATTCTGTGCAAGGCTGCAAGCGGGCTGGGCTGTCCCAGGAAGGTTCTGCAGATATAGAATGAGAGGGCAAGGCATGGAGTAAGAATAACTGAAATAATACTTTGTGTACTATTCACAGTTGCAGCATGGCTGCATTTTGCTTGCATTTYGCTTGCAGACAAGTGCATTTTTAAAAACACAGATTTCATGTCATTCTGGACAGGCAATTTCACTTTGCAGCAATTAGGTCCAGGGCTCTCCCTGCTTCACGAGGGGACAGGCCAACCGGCTGGGGAGCTGCATACCAGGCAAGCATGAGGTGAGGAGCTTTGTGAGCCTTGCCTGCTTCTGCAGCTACATCTGCCATCTCCATTGGACAGTCCTGCTTGGAGAGGCTCTGGGTGCTAGAAGCACCAAAAGATCCACAGAAACTTTAGGAAAAAATTCTTAACAGTGAGGGTGACAGAGCACTGGCACAGGCAACCCAGAGAGGTTGTGGAGTCTCCTTCTCTGGAGATCTTCCAAACCCGCTTGGATGCAATCATGTGTAACATGCTCTAGGTGACCCTTTGTGTGCAGGGAGGTTGGACTGGATGATCTCTAAAAGTCCCTTCCAACCTTAAGGATTCTGTGATTCTCTGATACTGCTTGTCAGAGASAGCTCTTCTACTTCTTTCCAATTCCCAAAGTCTGATCTAGCTCCTGTGGCAGAAAGATGGATTTCCAGAGGATACCTTAGCACAGTAAGCCCAGAGGATGGAGTGGGACATCTGAGCTGCTCTGAAAACAGCAGAGCCATTGGCCAGGGGAGCAAAAGGAAAATGTTTTATTCTTATTCAAGAGCTTGCTGCTGTGCATGGCATTAAAGCAGCTGACGTGCRCTTTAGAACACTTTGAGACTGATAAGCAGCTCATTTGGAAGAGGCTCTTATTTTGGCAGCCGTACTAGCTCAAAAACTTAAGGAGCATTTCCATCCGTAACACCTGTGAACATTACTAGTTAAATCTCTAGCACAACAAGCGGCACACAACTTAGCTGCTTTAAGTGTATCACCCCAGTTTGATATTTTACATATTAATTCATGCATATTAATTAGATCCCCTCTCAACCATCTCTTCTCCAGGATAAACAGGCCCAGCTCACTTAATCTTTCCTCATAGGGTAGATGCTCTAGTCCCTTAATCATCTTGGTTGCTTGTTGCTGGACCCACTCCACATCCCTCTTATACTGGGGCACCCAGACTRCGCACTGTTTCCAGACACAGAACCAGGCCTCTCCTGTCACCTCCAAAGAGGCAACATCTGCATTTAGTGTTCAGGGGTCAGAAGAGAATTATAACTTCAAGTCTAGAAACTTGTCCTCTTATGAGACTGAGCAGAGCAACCTCCCTGTTTGGTTTCTCTGAAGAAGGGCTTGCAGCACCCATCACCAGCATCCCAACACCAACAGGGAGGAGGCTCCCAGAAATACCAGCCCCCTCAATCTGACAAAGACAGGAAAGATTGGTAGATAGTCACTGAGGTCAGGCAAAATGTGAGCTAGAAATAAGAGGCAAATTTACAAGAAGGGGTAAATAAAGCCTGGAAGCAACTCATGCAGTAATTTATCACATCCAGAAGCAGATAATGTCACTTTCTCATGGCCTTTTCCGCTGCCAAATTTGTTCCAAGGGATTATTTCAATTGCAGCTACTTCCCTTTCCCACCTTGTTTCAGCAGTGCCAGCAAGGTCAGATTTATGCTCTCAAATGAGCATCTCCAGCTGCCRTTGGTCCTTATCGTCAGATCCCTCACTTTCTGCCCTCCTGTTGCTTTGCTGACACCGGCAGCGTGCTACTGGGGCTGGTGATGGGATTTTCTGCTTTGAGCCTGTCACAGTCCTGTCGGGCTGAGGCCCGCGTGTTACGCCTCGCCTGTGCCGGCTACGCACGTATAGCCCTGCTGCGCTGCCCAGGCCGGGCACCGCTGCGGCACAGCCCGTCAGGCCTGGGGTGACCCCTGGASACAGGGGCCCCCTCGACCTGGGGGCTCCTGGTGCCTACAGGCTGTTCCTCGGAGCTGAGAGAAGTGGGATGCCCCAAGAGACATGGAGCAGGAGGGAAGAGGCGAGAAGCAGAAGGGGGGCAGGTGGAGCCCGTTTCTCAAGTGCTTTGTGACATTCGCTCACATTTGGGCTGCTCCCGTGGCACCTGTGGCTCTGAGTGTTCTGCAGCTGGAACAGGAAGAGGGGATCCTGTTTCATGGTGCTTCTTCCAGCAGCTGCTGTGCAGTCGCAGGGCCCGTCCTTGCACGGGGAACGAGTCCTTGCAGAGGGAACGCAGTGCTGGCTGGCGGCGTCTCGCAGGATCGCCCCTCTTGCATTGCGCTTGGGGGTGCCGTGGGCAGTGGGGCTGCTGAGGAGGAGCTGCGGGTGCTGCTTGCTCCTTCTGGGGCCTTGAAAAGTTCACGCAGGAGAGCGGAGGGGGCCGGTGCAGGCAGCACCTCCCTGCTGGGGTGCAGAGTGTAGGAAAGTCTGGTGGGGAAGAGGCCTCACCTGGACCTGAACTACTTCTGCCATCTCAGTCGCACCCTGAGCRGTCTCCTGCTGCTCCCCCATCTCTGGGGACGTGCGCAGGGTTCAGGTTGGGGGGCCGGCCGCAAGAAAGCTGTTTGCAGCCCCCAGCTGGGCCCTTTCCTTGGCGCGCGCGCAGCGTTCCTGCGCTCTCACTCACAGGAGCCGAGGCCCCTGCGCTGCTGCGGGGAGGAGCTGTGGCTGACGAGGCCTGAACTCCGCTTCACCCGAGCCTGGCCCAGCTGCCTCCTTCCTGGCTCTGTCCTCAAGCTTTGTTCTCACTTGGAGCTCCCAGCTGGTGGACGATCCGTGGCAGGGATGCTGGAGCACAGGGAAGGAGCCTTTTGCTGCTGGCCTGAGCTGCGAGGAGCACGTCAGATCCTTCTGCCATGTCTACAGCAGCTAGTGCCACTCTTGTGGCTGTCACAGACAGGACCACCCTTGTCGTCATCTTCAGGTCCCAACCCATGGAGTTTAGAGCTCAGACAGTGGGACTGAGCTGGACTGTGGAGAGGAAGGGGGAGGTTTTGCTGCGCTTGTTGTCCTAGAAGTCCTCTTGGGGGAGAAAAGGCTGAAGTCAAAGGCAGCTGCTGAGCCTGCATGGGCTGCCCTTGGCTGAGCAAGCTGGGGACACGTGGCTGCTCTTCCCTTGGCACCTGTGAGAGGCTTCGCCTTCCCGTCTGCCCCCAGTGTGCTCCTTGCCCTTTGCAGGGGCAGCGCCCTCGGCCTGGGCTGTGGATGCTGCCCTGGGATGCAGGAAGGGAGACCCAGGAACCTCTGGCAATGCAGGCACCTCTGGTGGTGTGGGTAGCAAGCAGGGCAGCACTCGTAGGAGTCTACAGTGCTTGCTTGCCTGCCCCGGGCCATCTCTGGGGCCAGTAGAGCTTGCACCTAGGGGTGCCCCATGACCGCCTGCAGCCCCGGGAGGCCTCGTCTTCCTTGCAGAGGAAGCAGTGATTTATTTTCAACGATGACTGCAGAACTGAGGAGGTCCCAGTCTGTCTGCTGGACTGACGCCAGCTCTGAGGGCCCAAGAACAGGAGGCAGCTCTGGGCTGTGAAGGGGACGGTGATCCAGCTCTACCAGGCTGGTGGTCTCCATCCAGATGCCATGGAGATATTGCTGGCCCTGCTCATATAGTGCCTCCTCCCACCCAGGTGACAGCCACAGATGCGGACAGCGGCCCCTTCGGCTCCCTGGCCTACTCCATCGGCTCCGGCATTGGCAGTGTTGTCCCCACGCAGTTCAGCATTGATGAGAGCACGGGGCAGCTGTGTACTGTGCAGCCCTTGGACYGTGATGAGGGCACGTCTGCCTACGACTTCACCATCACCGCTGTGGACGGGGTGAGTGCAGGAGAGGTGGCGGGGATGCGGTACTGCCGACTGGGCGCCATGTCAGCGGTGCAACTGCCCTCGTCTATTCTGGTCCTTCCTCAGGGCGGCCTCAACTCCATGGTGTACGTGAAGGTTTTTCTGGAGGATGTGAATGACAACCGGCCGGTGTTTTACCCGCTGGACTACGCAGTCAGCATCAGCACGCAGAGCATGCCAGGCACTGCTGTGCTGCGCGTCACTGCTCACGACAAGGACGAGGGGCTGCATGGGAAAGTCACCTACCGCATTGTCCTGGGGAACACCCCCCCACTCTTCTCCCTCAACAAGGACACAGGTGAGAGCTCCGGGATAGCCAGGGCAGCGGGATGCAGGCAGGGGTAAAGCCTGGCAGGGGGCAATGCATGGCCACCCCTSCTGTGCAGGCTGCCCCCGCAGAATGTCTAGTTCTCTCCTGACACGTTGCCAGGCCCCAGCTTCCTTAGTCCCTGTATGCCCCTTTACAGGCTTGCTCACTGCTCCCTTGTTTCTGCTTCCTGCCTTGTTTTTTCTGTCACCTCTGCGATCCCTTTCCTTGTTCCCTGTCCCTGGCTCCCTGCACTTGTCTTCCTGCCTGGTGCTGGCTTTGCCCCATCTGGCTGTCCCCTCCTTGGCTCCTTCTCCCTGCCCAGTTCCCTCTTCTCCCCTGCTTGGTTCCCTCTCCACCAATGCTCTGTCCTCCTTGGTCCCAACTTTCTGCCTGGCTTCCTCTTTTCTACCTTGCCTTGGATACCAAAGCCAGAGTGGTTTCTGTTGGGTGATTCCATGGTTGCATGCAGCAATAGGGCTCTCAGCAGGCCAAGCAGGGTGGCCTGTGCTCAGCACAGATGTCAGTCCCTCTCTGTGCTGCTCCACAAGTCCTCAGAACATGGCTGGGAAAGGGAAGGCCTGCGGGTCAACTTAATGCAGGGCCACCTCCTTTGTAGGCTTGCCCCATTAAGTCCATCTGTCCTACCCTCACTCCAGGAGTTCCCTCACAGTCCAGATCCCACCACTTGCTACTGCCCCAATCCTTGCCCTGCACCCCTAGAATTCCCGTTCCCTCTTTTTTTTTCTCTCCCAAGAGCTGCCTTCTGGTTTGTCTCCCCAAGATCTTACTGCTGCTTAGCTCAGGGTTTGGCTTCAAGGTGAGGAGGGAGGGCTAGAGGGGTCTCTTGTGGGTGGGTTCTCCTCCTTTGTGCCAGCTCTCCTGTGCTAAATTCCTCCCTATTTGCTGCCTCTTTAGGTCTTTTTTTTTCCAGGCCTGTGCTTTCGCAAGGCAAAGGGCCTGTTCTGAGGGTGGAAGATGACAGGCCRTGGGTGCAGCATAGCACCCTCCTGAGCTGCTTTCCTCTCTAGGTGTCATCTCCCTCTCATGGTCCCTGAGTGGCAAAGCCAACACGCTGGTGCAACTAGTGATCTCTGCACGAGATGGTGGAGGCCTGCAGGCACAGATGAATGCCCGGGTGAATATCAGCATTGTGGAGGGCACCGTCTCACCTCCTGTCTTCGAGCAGGCTCAGTACTTCTTCACAGTGCCTGAGGACGTGCTGCCAGGTGCCAGTGTTGGGGCTGTTCAGGCCCAGAACCCTCCAGGTGTGTACTTATCTGCGACTGTAAAGGACAGTGGCTGAGGCAGACTAGGTGGCACTGCCCAGCCTTGACACTGACTGTAGTAAGCTGAGGAGGTGAGCTGGGTACACAAATTGCTCCTGTCTTTTTTTCTGTGCCCACAGGTCATGCTGATGACATCTTCTATTCCATCTCTTCGGGGGATCCTCATGGCTATTTTTCCATTGACTCTGGCTCGGGGCAACTCTGCACCAGTCTGCCTCTTGATCATGAGACCCAGGCTGTCCTCACCCTGGATATCCAGGCCCGGAGTGGTTCACCCCCTGCCTATAGCAACACACGTGTGAAAATCTCTGTATTAGATGTGAATGACAACGTGCCAGTGTTCCCAGCCCCCTCCGACTCTATCCTGCTGCCGGAGGCCACAGAGCCTGGGAGCACAGTGTACACGTTGCAAGCCGAGGACCGGGACAGCGGTGCCAATGGTCAGGTGCATTTTGAGCTAGTTTCAGGAGGAGATGGTATCTTCAGCGTGGAGCGCTCCTCGGGGGCAGTGCGACTGATGGGGGCCCTGCAGTACGAAGCCAGTGCTGCCTATGGGCTGGCCATTGTGGCCCGGGATGGTGGCGTTCCCCAGCTCAGCTCTACCTTCACTCTGCTGGTGCACGTGCAGGCCGAGCACGACAACGGGCCCATCTTTGACACGCTCACCTACCGTGTGGAGGTGCGGGAGGGAGTGCCTGTCTCCACACGCTTCCTGCAGGTGCGGGCGCTAGCACGTGACGTGGAAGCCACGTCCCTAGTCTACCACTTGCGTGCTGATGGGGATGCTGCCAGCTTTGGCATCATGCCTGAGAGTGGTTGGCTCTATGTCAAAAGTGCCTTGGACCGGGAGATGCGGGACCTGTATGTGCTCACGGTGCTGGCCTCAGCAGCAGGAAGCGGTGCAGGAGGAGAAGCCCGAAAAACAGGCACCAGCACAGTACGGGTCAGCATCACTGATGAGAACGACAACAGCCCCCGGCTGAGTGAGGAACGCTACTTCTTCACCATCCCTGAGAACCAGGCACCTGGTAGCAGCGTGGGCAGGGTGATGGCAAGCGACCGGGATGCCGGACAGAACAGTCGGCTCACCTACCGCCTGCTCCAGCATGACCCCAACTTCCTTATCCATATGCAGACAGGTGAGAGGCTGCTGGCTTCCTAGGGGAGACCCAGGGCAGGTCCGAMGTGATACAGCCCAGGCTGGCAGAATTTTGCTCTGCCAGCATCTTGGTCCTGAGTTTCCCCATAATGTACCTAAGTATGGACCTGTTTCTGAAGAGATCTCTGGGCTGATCCTTGTCCCTTCTTCTCCCTCACAGGAGAGCTCAGCACAAAACACAGCCTGGACCGGGAGCAGCAGTCTGGCTACCAGCTGTTGGTGATTGTGCAGGATGGGGGCGCACCGCCCCGCAGTGCCACTGGAACCGTCTACGTCACTGTGCTGGATGAGAATGACAATGCTCCTGCGTTCCTTCACGTGGCCAGTGGTCAGGAGCTTCCGGTGCAGGTAGGGAACACACATGCCTTTTCTGTGCCTTAGACCRGGGAGACAGGGGCCTGGGAGCCCAAGAGGCTGGGGGATGCTGCAGGAGGAAAAGTCGGAAGGATGTCCTAGGGCATTTTTGGGGTGGGGGTGAAGCAAGCATGAGTTGCATTCATGCAGTCTGGCAAATGTGAGGAAGATGTGGTAAAATAGGCATGCCCTTGGTACGCTCATATGCATGGAGAGGGTGAGCACTGATAGTGACTTACAGAGAGGAGTGGTTGATTCACACATGTCTGCAAGGAGGGAGGGTGGAAGGAGCCCAGACCCAACCCAGTGGAGCCATAGTGGACACGGGCAAGCAGGGAGGCATGAGGTGCTGTTTCCTGTGTCTCAGGGCTTTCTGATGAGCTACTTGGCTTTGTGTGTGGGCAGGGAAGAGCTGCCCAGCTTACCTTTGCACTCGCAGAGGTTTCATGAGAGTGAGAGATGAGTACATGCTATGGGCGCCAGCCCGCCTTGCCCCTGGGCCCTGGCTGGTGGCAGCAGTCGCACAGGCACAATGTGCTGCAGTCTTGCTTACGCCTGTGCTGCTCGGTGCGAGGGAGCTACCCTGCCTCCCTTCTGCTGGCACCCTGTCTGCTCTTCTGCAGAAGGACTAGGTGAGGGCTCTCCAGAGCCACAAGCAGCAGGGCACAGGCAAGGGAGCTCAGTGGGCAGAGGATGCCTCTTCTTGTGATCCCTGGGGATGACAGGCCTGTCACATGAACAGCCTCTGTGGAGTGCCACTATTCAGATGGGGTATCTGCAGCACGTCCTTGGGGACACTTGCAGCACACCCGTGCAGCGGGCTCTGCAATGGACTCCAGGATGTGAGGGTTCCTGAGGCACTTGGATGCTCTGGGATGCTCCCATGCAAGTATGGGTTACTAAATGGCTTCTTTGGTTCAATCTTGACCTCTTCAGGGAGCTCCCTGGAAGAATCTCCCGGACCAGGGTCCTAGAAGGAAAGGGTGTCCAAGGAGAGTTGGCTAATATTCAAACACCACTTTCTGCAAGCTCGGGATCAGTGCATTTCTACAAGAAGGAAGTCAAGCAATGGGGGCAGGAGACCTGTGGTTGGGCAAAGAGCTCTTGGGGAAACTTAATGAGAAAAAGAGAACATATGCAACGTGGAAGAAGAGCCAGACCACATGGGAACAATGTAGGAACCTTGTCAGAGAACGCAGAGATGCAACAAGGAAGGCCAAGACCTGTTTGGAAATAAAGTTAGMAAGAGATGTCAGGGACAGCAGGAAGGTCTTCTACAAATACATCAGCAGCAAAAGGAAGACTAGGGAGCACGTTGGTCTGCTGCTGAATGGAGAAGGTGCCTTGGTGACGGAGGATGCAGGGAAGGCAGAGTTAATAAATGCCTTCTTTGCTTCTGTCTTTACTGGTAAGGCTAGTCCCCACAAACTACATAGCCTGGACACAAGAGAGAAAACCGGGAGAGAAGAAGACTTTCTGATGGGCAAGGAGGATTGGGTTAGGTATTRTTTAGGCAAACTGGACACCCGTAAATCTATAGGCCCAGATGGGAGGCACCCAAGAGTGCTGAGGGACCTAGTGGGTATTATTGCTCAGCCGCTCTCCATCACCTTTGAGAGGTCATGGAGAGCAGGGGAGGTGGCGGAGGACTGGAGGAGASCCAACATCACACCAGTCTTCAAAAAGGGCAAGAAGGAGCCAGGAAACTACAGGCCWCTCAGCTTTGCCTCCATCCCTGAAAGGTAATGAACCAGCTCATCCTAGAGAGCATCTCTAGGCATGTCAAGAAGAAGGTGATCAGGAGTAGTCAGCATGGATTTACCAAGGGGAAGTCATGACTGACCAACCTGGTAGCCTTCTGTGATGGGATGACGTGCTGGATGGATGAGGAGAGAGATGTGGATGTTGTCTACCTTGACTTGAGCAAGACTTTTGACACCATCTCCTGTAACGGAATCACAGAATCATTAAGGTTGGAAGGGACCTCTASAGATCRTCTAGTCCAACCCCCCTGCTCCAGCAGGGACACCCAGAGCCTGGGGCACAGGGTGGCATCCAGGTGGGTTTTGAAGACCTCYRGAGAAGGAGACTCCACAGTCTTCCTGGGCAGCCTGTGCCAGGGCTCTGTCACCCTCACAGGAAAGAAGTTCCTCCTCACCTGGAGATGGAACTGCCTGGGTTTCAACTTACACCCATTACCCCTTGTCCTGTCACTGGCCACCAACGAGAAGAGCTTGGCCCCTTCCTCCCTACATTCACCCTTCAGGTACATATTAATCAGATCCCCTCTCGACCTTCTCTTCTCCAGAGAAAACAGGCCCAACTCACAGTCTTTCCTCATACGGGAGATGCTCCATKCCCTTAATCATATTTGTAGCTCTCCGCTGGACYCTCTCTAGAAGCTCCACATCCCTCTTATACTGGGGAGCCCAGAACTGCCCCCAATGCTCCAGATGTGGCCTCCCCAGAGCAGAGCAGAGGGGCAGGATCCCCTCCCTTGACCTGCTGGCAACGTCCTCCTGATGCAGGCAGGATCCCGTTGGCCTTCTTGGCCACAAGGGCACTCCTCACATGTCCATGTGCATCCTCAGGGAGATGAGGCAAGGCTGGGCCAGATTTAATTGTGAAGACTAGTAAATGCTGCAACAGCCCAAGCAGAACAAATATCTGAATGCTTTGGTTTGAAGCACTCCTGCTAGAARCACTGCCACAGGAGGTTGAAGCCCAGGAACAAGTCAGTGTTAATCAAGATCTAGGTGTAAAAAAATKGCTCGGAGGGAAAAGGAAAAAATAAATGATAAATGCAAAGCTAAGGGATTTATAGAAAAGGTGCACAGTGAATTATTCATACCAGCCTTAATTAGACAGAATAGAGAGGAGTTTCTGTGCTTTTTGTGCATGAAGTAGAGGGTCTCTCATGCTGAATCTATGACAACAGCTTGCTGAACACATCGGCAAAGTGCTTTCGTGAACAGGCGGTGTTTGCACAGGAGCTGCATCAGGCACAGATCCTCCCCAGGATTAATGACTAGGAAAAGGGAAGGGAGAAAAAGGAAGCAATAAGTGGTCTGTTTTCGCAGAGGCAGGATGTTGCTGGTGGGGTGCCTAGGATGAGTGCTGGTATCTTTGCTATTCAGCATTTTCATATATTCCCCAGAAAGAGTGATGTTTTGCTGATGATGCTGGTCTATTCGAAGCAGTAGAGATGAGGGCTGCATGTGGGGAACTCTAGGAGGATCCTGTGCTACCATTTACCTAGTAAAGAAGTTGATAGRTGAAGTTCATAGCTGGGAAGTAATCTACATGACAAAAAGCAATCTGAATTTCATTTACACAGTGGTGGGCTTTGAACTGGCTCTTGAAGTTTAAGGAGAAGATTGGGGCTATCACTGAGAATGTTTTGGGTAAAATCAGCTCAAGGCTCAGCAGCAGTCAAAAAGGCAAATGAAAAGATGAGTATCACTAGAAGAGGGACAAAGAGAGAACATTATTACCCACCATCTCAGATGCCACGCACCCCTGCCTCCATTCCACTAAATCAGCAGCAGCACTAGGAAATGTTCAGGGAAGGTTGTTAATATGATCTGCAGCACATAATGGTTTCCACGCAGGGAGAAATGATTTGAACGTTCTCTGGTGTGGAGGAGATTGCAGGAATACAGTGGAGATGTGCAGTAAATGGCACAGGGAAAGTCACACTACTTGCTCTTCTTGCAGTACACGAACTAAGACGCTCCATAGGAAATGACCAGCCTGCAGGTTTAAAATAAACAAGGACAGTACTTTTGCACGCAGAGCATAATTAAATTGTGAAATCATTGCCAAAAGTTGCATGGGTTCAAAATTAGATGAATTCATGGAAAGAAAAAAAAATCCATCAAAGACTGCTGGACAAAAATATAATCTGTGGCTCAGGAAGTGACTTAGCCACAGACTGCTGGAAGCTGGGAAGGTTTTAGAGGAGGATTACTCCATGCTTGTCCTATTTCTTTGTGTCTTCTCCATATACCCACTGCCRGCCACTGCCAAACCTATGCCACTGAGTAGGATAGTGTTTTGGTGTTTGGTTCAAGTTGGTGGTTGTGCTGCCTTCTTGGAGGGCAGATACCTGGACAAGCCTGCCTGTCTTACCCAGCTGAGGGCTTCCCTGAGGCAAGAGCACTTCTGCTGCCACCCATGTGCCTGAAATGACATTTGCACGTGAAGCCTGCGTGGGTGCTCCTTGTTTGACTCCTGGACCAGGTCACCACTTTCCTGAGATGGAACTCAATCCTTTGTAGGAGAGGAGCGTGACCATGCCTGCAAAGCAGGAGCCTCTTGTGCCATGTCAGAGACAACTGGGCACGGCTGAGGGGGGCAGATTCTACCCAGCCTTTTATAGGAGAGGGGCTGGAAGGGGCTCAGAGGCCCCTTAGGAGGCATGGCCCCAGCTGGAGGTGTCTACGCAAACACTCGTTCTCGTAGAGCAGCCAAGCTATATTTAGAAGGCCCTCTGCCTCCATCGTCGCTGTGAAGGCTGTTCCAGATTTCTTGATCTGGTAGTTAGGAACCGTCTCTTAATTTCCAGCCTAAACTAATTTCTGACCACTTCATACTCATTTGTTCTCATGCCAACACTGTTTTTGCTTAAACAGCTCTTCTCCCTGCTTGGAATTTCCCTCCCCCTCCTAGTGTTTACAGAGAGCAGTCACATCACTGCTTGGCCTGACTAAGCAAGCCTAGCTCTGCTGGTCCCCTCTCCTGCGTGCCACCAGCATGGAGCTGGTACCAGCAGCTCATGCAGCGGCATTAATGCTTACCTGCTCTTTCCCCGCATCCTTGCTTGGATTCTGCTCGTCTTTTCCATGCGTGTGTCAAAAGGCCACCCTCTGCAAGTGCCCAGCACCACTGGCTCCATGGGGCTGGTGCGTGCAGCAAGGCGTGGATGCGAGCTCTGTGGTGGTGCGTGCTGGTGGCGGGATGGCAGGAGCTGGGCCGTGTAAGTGCCTGGCGCTCTTGCTGGGTGAATACAAGCAAGGACTCTGTGCCGACGGTGATGGGGAGACATCCATTTCCAGAAATATCCAGGAAAAGTGCCTGCATACAAAGGTCTCTACTAGGAAGCTGGTGACTGTGCAGCTGTGGGCTTAGGGTTCATTGTGCACACGCAGAATTAAGACCTTGATGGTACCCTGGGGTATTAGCACATAGCATTGGTCTTAATGGACTGCAGATAGTCAGTCAGCAGTGCTAACTGGGAGCAAAGGAGTAAGAAGAATCCCAGTAGTTAATGAGTCCAGGCCCAGAGGAGCTGTCACTGCGTTTGCAGATTGCAGAGGACTCCATTGGGGTGATGCCGAGAACTGAGGAAATGGCCCTATTGCTGGTATCTAACTCTATGTGTGTCAGCACAAACATTTGTGCTTGTGTCTGAAGGGGTCTGACAGGGTAGAGAGAACGAGAATTTCTGCAGGACCCTGCATTTCCCCTAGTTATAATTAGAGGAGGCTTTGCGTGTTACCTGTGCAATGTGGTGTCCTCCTGCCAGTGCCCTGCTCGTGCTGCRGCCTGGGCTGGTGCAGTGGGAGGAGGCTGTGAGACTGGAGCTCTTTTGCTGTGGAGCTGGGCTGGATGGATCTGAGCCCTGGTGAGGTGCAGGGCTGCCACAGGGCCACAAAGATCCTGCACAGTGGGTCTGGAGATGCTCAGTGCCACTCATCCACTGCCCATGCTGTGTTGCAGGTGCTGGAAGAGAAGCCATCAGGACTTCTAGTAGCCTCCCTGCAGGCCAAGGACCCAGATGAGGGTGAGAATGGGACCATCATCTACTCACTGACAGGTATGAGCTGCTGAAGTGGCTACCTATTGCCACTCTGTGCCCTGTGGCTGTGACTCTCGTGGGTGGATAGATGCTTGCTGCACAAACTGTGCTGTGCCATGCTTCCTGCTCCTGTGCCACCTATTCCCTGTTGTCCCTGTTCCTCCCTGCAGCATTCTCCTCCTTCTCTCTGCAGGAGCCTGGGCAGAGCGTTTCACATTGCACGTGGCCACAGGAGAGCTGCGTACCGCCACGGTGCTCCGCCGCCCTGATCATGCTGAGTACATCTTCACTGTGACAGCCAGCGACCGAGGCGCTGTGCCGCGCAGTACCTCGGCCATCATACGCATCCAGGTACCCCGCTCCCTCCTTCCTGCACACCATTCAGCTACTTGGCAGTCTTCCTCCCTACCTTTCCACCCCCAGACCTTGATCCCAGGGCGCCCTCAGCCTTCTCTTGTTTCTTAGCGATGAGTTTCATTTTACAGCAGAGACTCCAGTTTCTCCCTGATCAATGCTCCTTCCCTGGATGCTGTGACACATCTTCCTGTCCTTGCAGTTCCCAAGGCCATGCAGGTGGCATTCACTGTTCTGCTGCTTTTCTGTCCCAGCAGTGCCCTTTAAGACCATTAGCAAGCTCATACTGCACACAGCTTGCTTTTGTTCTTGCACCTCCTAATAGCAAATATCTGTACCAAGAGCCACCTCTTCTCAACTTAGAGGTCTTCTCAGTACCATCCTTGAGCCATTTGGTCTTTTAGCCTTTTTCTTATGACATGGCAATTCCTRTACCACTCCTCTCATCAGTTTAATAAATGATCTTCTATTTGCTGCTGCATCAGAGTTCAACTAAAGGCTGGGCGAATTAGATGTGTCGTATTTCATTTGTGTTTGTAAAATCTCATGTTAGCCTGGTAAATCTCCCTTTAGCATCCTGCAGGATGTTTTATTCTGTTTCCTTTGTGTCTTGTTGGTAACTGTTCTTGTCTCCAACATTGCTCTACAGCCTTCGAAGTACTGAGGCTGGGCTGGCAGGTTGGTTGTCCCCAAAGTGCTCATTCGTATCCCCATAACATAGCTACTTGCTTAGTGGTCTGATTCCCCTCTGGGCTGACGGTTCTGCTCTGTTTCCTTTCCCTGTCTCCCTGGCCTGGTTCACCAAGTCCATCAGCGCATTTTGCCTTGAAATGACACTATTGCTTTTTGTGTATTCTCACTCCTATTGGCAGCTGCCCCTCATCCCTGATTTAATTTCCATATCTTTAMTAAAAATGGTGATAGCATTTATTTATCTTTGGGTCATACTGAATGACCAGGAGGTAGATCTCCAGAGATCACTTCCAACCTCATCAGTCTGTGATTCTGTGACCTGTGTGTCTTCTCTGCATCTCCTGTCTGGATGAGCCTTTCCTCCCCGCTTACCCTTTGCTTAGGTTTTGCAGACCTCTTTCTGCTGCTGTTGGCTTCCATTGCAGGCTCTAACCCAGGCAGCAGTGCCCTCTCTGTCCCTGTCCACCACARCCACCCAGGTGAAGATGCTCTTTCACTCTTGTCAAGCCTCTACTTATTCTCGGTGTGTTTTTCAGGTTCTTGCTCATCCACTAGGCTGCAAGGCCTGTGACCTTGCCTCCCTACACCAGCCCTTTCTTCTTCTGTGTGTCACCCCGTGTCCCCCTGCAGCACAGCACCCCTCACTGCTGTCTCTCCTCACAGGTGCTGCCGTCTTCCCGGGTGCTACCTCGGCCCGATGCCACCGTGCTGACCCTGCACCCCCTTGAGGGGGTCAAGCCAGGGTCTGTGATCGGCTCTGTGGCTCCCCCAGATGCTCCTGCACGGGGACAGCTGACATACACAGTAGTAGGAGGTGGTGGGGATGGCACATTTGTCGTCGACAGCGTGACAGGGGAGATCTTTGCAGCCCGGGAGCTGGACTATGAGGTCAGAGCCCGGCACACGCTGCAGGTGAGCGCTGAGGACATGCAGCATGGCTTTCCCTCCAGCCGCCTGGTGCTGGTACAGATCCACGTGCAGGACTGCAACGATCAGGCACCCACGTTCCCTGAAGACCCCATCACCATCGTGGTGCCTGAGAACACCCCAGCTGGCTCATCCATCTTCACCTTCCAGGCGCTGGATGGGGATGGAGTGGGTCCCAACAGCCAGGTGCGCTATGCTCTGCTGCGCCAGGAGCCCCCTGGGGCCCCCTTCCAGCTGGACAGCCGCTCGGGGCTGCTGACCCTGCGCCAGGGCCTCGACCGCGAGGCTGCTGCCTCCTTCCTCTTGGTGGTGGAGGCCACAGACCAGGCCCGCAATGTCAGCCAGCGCCTCTCAGCGGCTGTGACAGCCCGGGTGTTTGTGACCGATGAGAATGACAACACGCCTGTGTTCCTCTCACCCACTGCTGTCAGCGTCATGGAGGACCAGCCAACAGGCTTTGTGGCTCTGCACGTGGTGGCCCAGGATGATGATCTGGGAGAGAATGGGCGTGTGAGCTACTCGTTGCGAGCAGGCAACAGTGATGGCCGCTTCCACCTGAATCCCAGCACTGGTGAGGATCCATGGTGATGCAGGGTGGGTGGCAGGGACACTGGGAATGTAGGAGCCAAGGAGGATGCAGGAATATGCAGGACACTGGAGGGGACTGTGGCTGAGGGACACAGGGCTGCACAGAGATAAGAGAGACCAGTAGGGCATGGGGAGCCCTGAGCATGGTGCCTGGCTGGTGTGATCCTGCCATCTTTGTTAAGACAAGACTGACCTGGGCTCAGCCCAGTGCCTGCGGCCTTGTAAAACTTCTCTCCCGGGATCCTTCAGAGCCCTGGGCTGTAGTCCCAGCGTTCCCCTCTCCTTGTGTCCTCAGGTGCCCTCTCCATCATGCGGGCGCTCAACCGGGAGGAGGTGGTACAGCACAACCTCACCGTGGTGGCCACAGACCACGGCTTCCCGCGACGCTCAGCCACGCAGCTGCTCTCCGTGCTGGTCCTGGATGTCAACGATGAGGCTCCTGTTTTCGAGAGGCCTGAGTATGAGGCTCACGTCATGGAGAACTTGCCAAAAGGCAGCCCTGTTCTGCGGGTGCTGGCCATGGACCAGGACTTAGGTGAGAATGCAGGGCGCGGGTGAGCTGCCAGGCTGGATGGAACACCCATATGGGATGCACTCTTAGCYATTCCCCAGCCCCACAAGCCTGGGGATCCATGGAGGGGGGTCACCAGCTGGCCTGGAGGAAGTGAGAAAGGGCTGACCTCTGAGGGAAGCAGAATCAGGACACGACTGTGATTCCCTCTGCTTTTCAAGGCAGTGGTTATTGTTCCTCCTGCTTTTATCAGGAGTTTTTTGTATCATGTTCCTGAAGCTGTACTGGATTGGGGCCTTCCTCTGCACGTCTCACAGAATCCTTGAGGCTGGAAAGGATCTCTACAGATCATTTAGTCCAACATCCCTGCTTAAGCTGGGATATTTAGAGCATGTGGCGCAGGGCGGCATCCAGGCGGGTTTTGAAGACCTCCRGAGAAGGAGACTCCACAGCCTCCCTGGGCAGCCTGTGCCAGGGCTCTGGCACCCTCACAGGAAAGAAGCACTGTGCCCCCAACTTTGCTGGGGGATGGGATCATCCTCTCCGTGATGTGCAACGCTCTGGGTGGGAGTCTGGAAGGAGGCAGATGCAGGGCTCAGAGCCCCGTGAGAAGCTCTGTAGATTTTGGTGAGCTGTCCTCAAGTGTACCCACCCCCGCAGGTGCAAATGGGCAGGTGTTCTACGGAGGTCTCTCCGGAGGGCCGTTCTCCATTCACCCACAGACAGGGCTTATTGTTACCACGCAAGCGCTGGACCGTGAGGAGCAGGAGCAGCATGTGGTGACAGGTATGGCTGTGCTGGTGCCTGGGAGGGCTGGGTGGCAGAAGGCGGTGGGTGAGACGTGGGGAGGGGGCAGATGGGTTCTCATCACCACTCGTGCAGGGCAGTGTGCAGGGCAGCTGGGTGGGCACAGCAGAAGGGAATGCTGGTGATGCCCTGCCTGGTTGCCCCTGCAGTTGTCTGAGCATGTGCTGGTGGCAGCCTTGGCAGTAGCTCTCAGCTAGCGGATCCCTGCAGCACTCTTGCTGTGTCCCTGCAGTTTATGCCCGGGATGGCGGCCTGCCTCCCAACTTCTCCAAGGCAACTGTGCGGATCACAGTAGGGGATGAGAATGACCATGCACCACAGCTGGAGAGTGAGTCCTGCTCCCTTGAGGTTCCTGAGAACCAGAGCCGCGTGGCACTCTACACACTGAGGGCCACCGATCCTGATGGAGGTGACAACGGGCGCTTGGAGTACCGCATGACAGGTGAGGAGCACAAGGATACAGGGAGCTCTGCATCTTAATCCCTGCTCAAGGGTGAGCTTTATTCTCCCTGGGACACCAGCAGCTCTGGAAAGCATCAGCTGTGACAATTCTTGTTCTGCCTCTGTTCCTGCCTGTTCCAGACCACAGGTGGCTGCTTCCTTCTCTCAGACCTGTAGTTCTTTTGCCTCAGTAAAGAGCATTCCAAGATGCACATAGGCTGCTTCAGCCTCAGGCTGGTTCCTCAGGCCCAGACTAGCTCCAGACTACTACTTGCTTGCCTGCTCTGGTGTGATGAATTTACAGACTGCAAAGCAAGGTCTCTTTGCTGGTGTCATGCCATATTGGAAGCTTCCCTAGGGAAGCAGTCCTGATCTAGGAGCTGGTAGAGATGGGTAGAATCCATTCTTACACTCACCACTGGACCAAGGAAATTTAATCATTGTGGGGTCTTGCAGGGAACAGATTCACATGACTTTCCGTGCCAGCTCATGCTGGAATGTGCTCTGTGCTGTCCTCCCTGGACAGCATAGGACAGTTCTCTCCCTCTGCCTTCACCAACTYGTAGTCATGCTTTCTTACCATCCCTATTGTCTTTCCAGATGGAGACCCTGGGCAGGATTTCAGCCTAGACCCTGTCTCTGGCATCCTCTCCACTGCACGTGCCCTTGATCGGGAGCAAGTTGCTTCATACAGCCTCACGGTGGTGGTGCAAGACCATGGCACCCCTCCACGCAGTGCCACCATGTCAGTGAGTGTGCGGGTACTCGACATAAATGACAATGCACCTGGTTTTGCTCAGGCCRCCTATACAGTGGAGGTGCCGGAAGATCTTCCCGTTGGCAGCCTGGTGTTGCAGCTAGTGGCTCAGGATCCTGACGAGGGCACCAACGGGCAAGTCACCTACTACTTGGGCAATGAGTCACTGGGCATGTTCCAGGTGGAGCCACAGAGTGGGCGCATCACAAGTGCCCATGCCCTGGACCGGGAACGCCACGCCAGCTACAGCTTCCTGGCCAAAGCTGTGGACTTAGCACCGTGGGAGCCCAAAAGCACGGCTGTGCGCATCACGGTCACAGTGCAGGACATCAATGACCATGCCCCTGCCTTCCTGCACAGCCCGCTCTCTGTCACCCTGTCCCGTCACACACCTCTCAAGCAGGTTGTGGCCACCATGAGGGCAGAGGACAGGGATGCAGGTGCCAACGCCTCCATCTTGTACCGTCTTGCCACTCCCAACCCTGCTTTTGCCATCAACTCCTACACAGGGGATATCCAACTACTGCAGCCCCTGGGCTCGCTCAGCCAGCGCCAGAGGACCCTCTTCATCCTGGCCACGGACCTGGGGCAACCAGCACTCTCCTCCACCGGTGTGGTGGTGATCCACTTGCAGGAAGAGCCCTACCGAGGGCTGCGCTTTCCCCGGAGCACCAGTGAAGTGGCTCTGCTGGAGAATGCTGCTCCAGGTATCAGCTGGGCAGGGTGCCAGGAGGAGATCTGACAGGATGGTGGGAGAGAGCTGGCATTAGTGTTGGGGTGGGGCTCAGAGGCTACTGCACGGTCTTGGGGAGCCCCATTGATGCTTGGGGATAGCCGGGGGACAGCAGAGCCTGGTGGTGCCTTGAGTGTTGAGGGTGGTAATCCGTAGGGGTTTGCCTTGGCATGCTCAGGTCACTACAGATGATCGCAGATGTTCCTGAGAGGTCTCCAGGGCTCACAGACCATAACAGTGCTATGGACAATCCCCGGGGATCCTGGCTTCCAGCCCAAATCTTTCCACTGGATCTCATGTCTCCAGGCAGAGCTGTGTCACTGGGGTACAGCACGTGCTGCCCAGCTGCCACCCTGCTGCCTGCCCCCAGGCTCTGCTGCCCCTTCACACTGCTCCCTCCCTCCAGGCACAGAGGTGGTGAGCATCCAAGCTACGCACATGGGCGGCTCATCTGGGCGCATCAYCTACAGCATCGTCAGTGGCAACGAGAAGAATGCTTTCCTTATCCAGCCCAGTTCAGGTACAGCTCTGGGATCCCTGGGGAAGCAGCAAGGCGGGGGGGTCACTTGGCCTCTGCCTTTGCCCACTCAGTTATCGCAAAGCACAGAGCCCCCAAGGCCTTGGGATACCATTCCTGTGCCACAAAATTAGACAGCTCTAGGACTTGGACCTGGGTACTGTCCTTTCGTCACCCAGAGGTGCTAGCAAAGCTCTTGGCATGGTTTTGTTCCCTGCTAGCTAGAGTTCTTATAAGAAAGATAAGATAAAGCCCAGTTTGGGATTTAGCAGATGCAGGTGCTGCCGCCAAGGGGTTACCTGGGAGCAGCCCCTGCCTTCAGTGGCAAGTCCAGCCAGGCACCCTGTCCTGTGCTGGGGCCCCTGTCAGGCCCCTCAGCTGCCCCTTTCTATTGCCTCTGTATAATACCAAAGATGACACTAAAACAAGGACCCACTGTCCAGGGGATGTTTGAATGGAAGCCCGCCCTCTGTGCAACCCTGCTCCCTGTGCAGTGATGGCATGTTGGTGCTTGTGCGGCCAGGGGCAGGTCCCAGGCTCCTAGAGCTCTTCCAGGCCAGGTGCYTGTGCTCTCTGCAGCCCGCAGAGGCTTGTGCAGGCCCTGCCAGCTGTTGGTGGTGCAACATGCAGCCTCCCGGCCCCCCATGAACCACTGTCCACTGCAGCTGGCCATGGGCACGGTGGTAAATGCTCAGCCATGCACAAATGTCTTCAGGAAACCCMTGGCAGCCATACGCATCCCCGTTGCTGCCATGTGGGTGTCCTTGGCATTTGACAGCACCGTGAGCAGTTCACAGCCTTGAGTCATTGCTCCAAGCGAGCCTCAGTGTGGGTGTTGGGAGGCCAGGGGAGAGGCCACCCAGGTCTTGCCCAGATCGAGCTGGGGAAGGCTGCTTTGCTTGGGGATTCTCACCTGTGAAGGGCCAACCTTTCCACACCACCAGAGGAAGGAGTTTACCTCGAACTACTGTTCAGAAGTGACAGTGGAGCTGGCGTGGATCTGATATGTTTATGAAGGACAGGAAGAGCTAATGGGTGGCACTGTGGCCAATCCYTTCTGGTCTCTGAGCTATCAGCCACGAAGCTACCACATGCAGCCAGGCCTCTTGGACAATGTCTAAATGGCTTCTGTCATGATCCAGGAATGAAGGCAGCCCCAAGCAATGCCCAGGCTGTCCCCAGGGCCACCAGCGCTGTTCCTCCTCCCTGTGCCTAGGTCAGAGCTGGGCTGTGCAACAGCAGCAGCTGCTGGGGGACCTTGGCCCTCCCGGCCCGAAGAGGCTGTTGCAAATGCTGCAGCCACCACAGCAGCTTTGAGCCAAGTCGCTGTTCAAGCAGCATGGCTGGGACAGGCCTGGCAGAGCCCCTCTCCTCTCACCCTGTGCAGCAGAATCTTCTYCCCAGTGTGGGAGGGTGAGACCCAGCAAGCAGAACCATCTCTCTTGTCCTGGGTGGTCTGAGCAGGGCCCTGCTGCACATGTGGCTGAGCCACTGTCATGCTGAGCTGCAGGAAGGTCTGACCTGGTTGTAGAAGAGCACCCTGGATCCTCACAGAATCCCTGTGCGTTCATGTTCCTCTGGTCCGTATCTCCTCAGGCTGTGCCTGACTGCTGTTCCTGAGCTGCCTGGCCATGTCTTGGCTGGGCTGTAGTTGCCGTAACAATGTCACTTCATCTCAATGAGCAAACAGTTCCCCCTGACAAAGTGCCCAAAGCACGGGATTTTTCCTTGAGAATATGTTCTTCCTTGGGTCCCCTTTGTCCATCCATGAAACGCTTCCTGGTGCCAGGCCCTCCTCTGGGACTGACCTACGCTGTCCTCAAGCTTGCCCCCTCTCTAGGAGGACTGATGTCCCCAGGAGAAGTGCGAGAGCTGGGCATGGCCGAGGAGTCCTGCCCCCTGTGCCGAGGTGCCCTCCGTGAGGCTGGAGCRGGGGAGCCATGGGGACGTCCTCACCCGTGCCCGTTCTCCTACAGCCTCAGGCAGCAACTGTCTGCCACGAGGAGGCTGCTATGACTGCTTTCCGTGTATTTGCTTGGGCCGAGACCTCTACATGGGGCCTTCTCCAGCAGCCCGATGGCACTAGGGGCACAGCGGAGCACAGCTGGCTCCCAGCCCTCCAGGTGCGGGAGCTGAGGACACAGCTGCTCCTCAGAGAATCTGTGATCTGCGTTTTCCCTTCCTACATGTATGGCCTGGTTTCAGCTGTGTTTATCTGCACTTAGGCCATCATGCAGAGCTGGCAGCAAAGGTCTTATGCCAAATCTGAGCTTGTCTGAGGCCACAGAGCCATTCCGCATGCCCAGTACTTACATCCCTGCTGCCTGACTAGTTCACCTCATGGTTGCATGTAGAGGCTGAAATAAACTGGAGACTCTTCCCTGAGGCAGGAATTTAGCAGCAGGAGCTCAGTTCCTTCTCCTTACGTTTGGATGCATCCCTGTGGAAATGCTGCCAATTGTTTTAGTGGATGGGAAGGCAACATTTTCTTGCTGTGAGAGCCTGGCATAGTGGCTCAGGAGTGTAAGAATGCGTATTTGTCCCACAGTGTCACTTGGGCGATTTTACCAGGCCTAGACCCATAGCTCTGGTTAGATGACTTTGTCTGGGGGCTTGATAAACTTATTGGGAATATGAGATTTGACATGGGGCATTTCTTTCTCAAACTGACCATAGCTCCAATGGGATTTCCAGTGGGAGAACTACTGTACACTGGAGTATAAGGGGAAGCTGAGCAGTCCGGTCAATGCAATGGRCGGCTTTGTCAGGTCATGAGTTGTRCATGAGGCMCTTGCTTGCAGAGCTAACAGGATCAGGGGGTCTCTGAGGTACCTCAGAGTATGAGGCAGACAAGACGTACCATCCCAGGCAGCTTGTTGGGGCTCTGAGCTTGGGAGAGGGCTTGGAGGAGCTCAGTATATCTTCCATACCTTGGGAATGCATGGATGAGTAGAAGGATGGACTGAGCGCGGGGAGACAGAAGAGATGTGGCAGTGCATCGCTCCCACCTCTCCCCTGGCAACCCGCTCCTGCTCTCTCCCCTCTACCAGGTGCCATCTCAGTTCAGGACTCCAGCAGCCTGGATTTTGAGGCCAGCCCTCGCCTGCGCCTCGTGGTCCAGGCAGAGACAACAGCTTCCTTTGGCTTTATGGCCATAAACCTTAACCTGCAAGATGTCAATGACAACCTGCCACGCTTCCAGCTGCAGAACTACGTGGCGTTCATCTGGGAGTCGCAGAGCTATGACTCCCCAGTCATCCAGGTAACTTTGGAGGCAAAGCAGAGACACCTGGGCCCTCAGCTTGCCSCTTGTGGGATGAAGAGGTGGGGGTGGTCCTGGGGCTAGGGCTGGGACGTAGAGATCTGTAGGTCTAGCCAGCGGTGCTCTGGTTTGCMGTGCTACACAAACACTGCTCAATGTGACTTTGCAGGTCCTGGCAGATGATTTGGATCAGGGGGCAAATGGGCAGGTGACTTATGCCATCAATCAGTCCTTGCCGATGACTGGCTTGTACCACATCGATCCTCAGACTGGCACCATCACCACAGCTGCCATCCTGGACAGGGAGATCTGGTCCCAGACCCGGTGAGTGGGGCCAGGCCAATTGGTGCCACAGATGGGAGGTGGTCATAGCTATGGAGCAGCATCCCTAAGACGGCAGAGGATCTTCTGATCCTTGATGCCATCCAAAGCTGTTTGAACCCAATCTGTAAAATGCTTTTGCCACACAGCAGTGGAAAGTAGGGCCCAGTTGAAACATGGGCAGCAAACAGTCCCAAGGGCACGACAGATGGCCGTGAGATGAGACAGTGCGCGGCTCAGCTTGATCTCAGCAAATCTGTGAAAATCGTGARGCAGGCGGTGGACTGCTTTGAAGGGCCGTGTCCATTCCTTCTCCTGCCTCACTAACCCAGGCCATAGACCCTGAAGTCTTTTCCCAGTCCTCCCTGGAGGATAGTGCACCCTCCTGCACTATCACATCTTCCAGGAGCTCTGCACTGCCCCAATGCTCTTGCAAGCCCTCTTGTATTAAGCCCACCTCCTCTGGGCCCCTCACCATGTGTTCTACACATCCTGCAGTTGTTCCAGGCACAAGCATGCAAGATAAGGGCACACACTCCACAGTGGATTCAAGTCTTTTCCCACCCTCCTGTGTATGTGTGGTCTAGGCAGAGGGCACAAGCGCCACCACTCCACCCCAGCTTATATTCCACCCCCCCATACAAACATTCTGATGTCTGGATAACTCTCTGCCCACTTTCTAGACATGGAAAGACTTTGGGCAATCATTTCACTCACATGTCCATCACCTTTCCCCACACACAGAGCCTCCATGCATTCCCCAGCTGTGCTCTCTCTGCTCTGAATGCTGTCAGCTGTATTCTCTGCACCCTCCCGGGCGTTGTGCCTATATTGCCCTACACTAAGGGCTTGCCCCACAAATGCTCTTCACCACAGGAGGGTTGTCCCTTGTGCATGTGTCAGGAGCTGTGAACACAGGAGCTCTCCACTACATGATCCAGACATGGTGCCCACATCCACCGTTCACTTGGATGTTCCAGGGGCCGGGCACAAAAGCGCTGCCCTCCATGCATGTGCTCCAGATGTGCATCTGCCACTTCTCCACACTCCGCAGGTTGTGCACACATCCACCACRTGTGCCAGGTGCTGTGCACATATCCACGCCCCAGTACTTTCAGGTGCTGTGCACACATCCCCTACCACCTGTACACACTGCAGGCTCTCAGCCGCACGCAGAGCCCTCTGCAAGGTCCGGGCGCTGTGCCTGCAGGTGCTGTTCCTCACACTTGCAGCCACCCATCTGTGAACTTTGTGGAYTGATGCTGAGTCCTGCCTGTGCTGATGCTGTGCCCTTGTGTTTGCCTACAGTTTGGTGGTAACAGCAATGGATAGAGGGATACCGCCTCTCGTGGGCTCTGCCACGCTGACTGTTGTGGTGATGGACGTCAACGACAACAGCCCCACCATCCCCTTACCGTGGGAGGTGCGGATCCCAGAGAGTAAGTGCATCCCCGACCCTTGAAGTGATGTGAGCTGCGTAGCAATGGAGTGGAGGGCCTGTAGGTGGGGGAGAAGCTGGTCCCTTTCCTTTTGGGGGGTCTGGCTTGTGCTGACYTTGCTGGCTGAACCCCCCTGTCCTYGGACATTGACTCATTCAGGGCAGCCTGGGGCTGGGGATGAGCAGCCCCTGTGCCTCAGCCCCATCCTGAGGAAGCTTGCTCCTCTCCCCTTGCATCCTCGGCTCCTGACTGTGCTGCAGTGGCTCTAGCTTCACATGCCTCCCCTCTGACCATGACTTGCATGTCCCCTTCCCATGCCACCCTCAGCCCGCCCTGCTCAGCCCCTGGGAGGTCCCATCACTGCCAGTGTCTCCCCACTGTCCTCAGTGCTGCTGTCTCTGGGCTGGTTTTGTTTCCCTCAGTGTCTTCTCCAGGGAGACAGGGCACTTGCTAAAGCCTTCTTTCTTCCCAGACACACTACTGGGTACCCAGATAGCCCAGCTGACAGGGAACGACGTGGACTCGGGCCCCGCTCTCTCCTATACGTTGGTGCTGGACAGCGATGCCACGGGCACGTTCAGCGTGCTGCGGTACGGGGGACACGTTGCCCTGACAGGACCACTGGACTACGAGGAGCGCAGCCACTACACCCTCACCCTGCGTGCCTCTGACACCCGCCACGAGACCGAGGCAAACCTGACCATCATYGTGGAGGATGTGAATGACAATGCACCGACCTTCAGCCAGGGCTTCTACCAGGTACTGTGCACGTGGGCACTAYGCTCGCGGGGTCCAGGCAGCCCAAACTCCCTGCTGCTGCTGCAGCACTGCCTGGCACGACTCACCTGGCCTCACCAGGACCGCCCAGAGCAAAGGGCTCCATGGAGATGGGGCTGAGCCCATCCTGGCCCCTCTCCTCCAGGACTTCCCCTGCATCCTGCTGCCCCTAATGCTGTCCCTGGCATGTCCCTGGCACGTCCCGAGGCCACACAGCACTGCAGCAGTGCAGCTGTACGCAGGCCATCCTTGGACGGGAAAACCAGGACCAGTGGGAGCTGTGTAATGGCCTGGGCAAGTGTTTCTGGTGAGGAGTTAGTCTGGGGTCTTCCCCAGACAGGTCACTGAGCAAAAGCCTATCCAACTGGTGCAGTGTGATGCATCTCTGGAGCGGAGATGAGGGAAGCTTGTCAACTTCTGCATTTGACCTCAGAAAGAAGCCCTGTTGGCTACTGCTTTCCATTTTGGTGGCCACAGTTTTAAAAAGGATGTTGCAAGTTCAGGAATAAACTGCAGGGGTAGGAGAGCACTGAGTCCTGTCTACTTGCAAGTGTTCTCAGCTCAACACACCAAAAAGGTACGGGGTGTTTTGAGTTGTCTAGATTATCTTTTGTAGAGAAAACAACAGCTTCTAGAGGTCTTTAGTTTGGCAGCTAAAGGATCAGTAACTGGGAGATGSCCTTGGCTAGAGGTCCCCCCTGCCAGACTGGGGGCTGTGCATGTGGGGCAGAGCACGGAGGTGGGGACAGCGCTGGCAGGGGCTGAGCTGCTCAGCCTGGCCATTGTGCAGGTCCCACAGCTCCTCGCGGCGCCCCGAGCAGCTCCTGGGAGGCAGGACCCACCCAGTGTGCACTGACTGGCAGTGGCCCCATCTTCCTGCAGGTGATGTTGCCGGAGCACACGCCCGCCGGCAGCGCCATTCTCACCGTCAGTGCCACCGACCCGGACTCGGGCAGCAATGGAGATGTCACCTACCACTTGGCCATGCCCAGCCCTGACGTCGCCATCGACCCCAGCAAYGGTGCGTGGGACTGGCTGCTCTGTGGACCCCATGCTGCGGGTTGTGGTGGTAGTGTCTGTGGAGGGAGGTGCTGGCCTGGGCAGGTGGGGAGGAGCCATCGTGGTGGCTAGTGAGACGCCCCACATGGCTCCCTGGGTGCTTGTTCCTCCAGGCAATATCCCTGCTACCTTGCACGACTCCCCGCTTCCCATGTTAACCCTGGCTCTGTGCCCCCACAGGGACCCTGTTCACCACCCGTCGGGTGGAGTTCGATACCAACCAGCCCACCTTGGACCTCGTGGTGGAGGCCCGTGACCGTGGCTCTCCCAGCCTGTCGGCCTGGGCCACAGTGCAGCTGCAGGTGCTGGATGTGAATGACCACAGCCCCAGCTTCAAGGCACCGCACTACAACGCCAGCATTCCTGAGGACCTGCGCCCGGGAACCACGGTGCTGACGCTGGAGGCGGGTGATGCAGACCTCTCCCGGGAGAACGCAGGCTTTGACTACACCATTGTCAGCGGCAACAGCGGCAATGCCTTCCAGGTGGAGAGTCGGGTGGCCTGGGCCGGGGGGCAGCTTCACACGCAGGGCACTTTGGTGCTCGTGGAGCCCTTGGACTTTGAGGCCGTCCCTGTCTACAACCTCACTGTGGCAGCCTCCGACCGYGGACTGCCGCAGCGCAGTGCCACGGTGCCCGTGCTCATCACCGTGCGGGATGTCAACGACAACCCACCTGTGTTCGCCCGAGCCGAGTACCGCACCACTGTGAGCGAGAGTGCGCCGCTGGGCACCGAGCTGCTGCGCCTGCTAGCTCAGGACGCCGACTCGGGGCCCCGCGGCCGTGTGCGCTACAGCATCAGCTCAGGTGACCAGCACGGCACCTTCCAGCTTCACGAGAGCACCGGGGCCCTGTGCCTGGCGCGGCCCCTGGACCGGGAGGCTCAGGCGCTGCATTCTCTCGTGGTGCAGGCCACGGATGCGCCGGGGCAGCACTTTGCGCTGGTGCCGGTGGCCATTGAGGTGAAGGATGTCAACGATAACAAGCCTTACTTCCCAGTGGAGGTGGTGAGCGCCAGCCTGCGGGAGAACCTGCCGCCCGGCACACTGGTCACCACGCTGCGTGCCGTCGACGCGGACACCGGCATCTTTGGGGAGCTGCGGTACGCCGTGCTAGAGCAGCCGGTGGGGGAGCCCGGCGTGGTGGAGGGCCGGGATGCGTTCGCCATCAACAGCAGCTCTGGAGAGCTGCGCTCGCGCCTCACCTTCGACTATGAGCGAGCCAAAGCCTTCCAGTTGCTGGTGAGGGCCACAGATGCTGGCAACGCCTCGGCCACCGTGACCGTGCGGGTGCTGGTGACAGGGGAGGACGAGTACGACCCCATCTTCCTCAGCCCCTCCTTCAACTTTGAGGTCCCAGAGGGCGCCCGGAAGGGACAGAGCATCGGGCGGGTGTTGGCGACGGACGAGGATGAGGGGGCTGACGGCGTGGTGCTCTATTCCCTTGCCAAGCCGTCGCCTTACTTTGCTGTCAACCAGACCACGGGCACCATCTACCTGCGGGTGGACAGCCAGCCGCAGGCCGGGGCCGGGCGCGCCAAGCGGGAACCACGCGAGATGAGCCTGGAGGTGCAGGCGCGCAGCCCGCTGCCCGCGTCCCGCTCGGCCGCGGCGCAGGTCACCATCGACGTCACGCACACCTCCTTCGGCCTGGCGCCCGACCTCAACCTGCTGCTGGTGGTGGCGGTGGCGGCCTCGCTGGGCGTGGTGGTGGTGCTGGCCGCCGTGGCCATCGTGCTGGCGCTGGTGCGCTCCCGCCACCGCCGCGGCCGCGAGAAGCCGGAGGGGGACGGGCGGCTGGGCCGCGTGCCGAGCGGCTCCCTGCAGAAGCTGGGCCGCGAGGAGCCGGCGCTGCCCGGCGCCGAGCACATCTACCACCAGGCGCTGCCGGGCTACGGCGCCGAGCCCGCGGGGCCCTACACGCGCGGCGGCTCCCTCGACCCCTCRCACTCCAGCGGCCGGGGCTCGGCCGAGGCGGCCGAGGACGACGAGATCCGCATGATCAACGAGTACCCGCGCGTGGCCAGCATCACGGCCTCCATGCAGGAGCACATCTCCGCCCGTGGCCCCGACTCTGGCATCCAGCAGGATGCCGACCAGCTCTCGGACATCTCCTGCGAGCCGGCGGCCCTGGAGAGTGCCCAGTGGTTCAAGAGCAAGAAGGGCTCGGGGCTGCTGCTGCCCGGGCCGCCACAGCTGTACCGCGAGGACGGGGGCGGCAGCGCCTTCCTGGGCGTGCGCTGCGGCCTCGGCGTCTCCGCGCCGCCCCAGGACTACGCCTTCCCGGAGGACGGCAAGCCCTGTGCGGAGGGCTCGCTCACCGCCATCGTGGCYGGCGACGAGGAGCTCCGTGGCAGCTACAACTGGGATTACCTGCTCAACTGGTGCCCCCAGTTCCAACCGCTGGCCAGCGTCTTCACTGAGATCGCCCGCCTCAAGGACGAGAGCTCCTTGCGCAAGCCCTTCCCCGCCAAGCCCAAGGCCGAGCCCAAGCCCCGCATCGACCCCCCGCCCCTCATCACCGCTGTGGCCCACCCGGGTGCCAAGTCCGTGCCCCCCAAGCCGCCGGCCAGCAGGACCTTCCCGCTGCCGTCCTCCCTGCGCCGCTCGCCCATCAGCCACGAGGGCTCCATCTCCTCCTCCGCCATGTCACCCAGCTTCTCCCCGTCCTTGTCCCCGCTGGCTGCCCGCTCCCCCGTCGTCTCGCCCTTCGGCATCTCGCAGGGTCCCTCCGCCTCTGCAATCAGTGCCGAGCACTCGCTGGAGCCCCCTGAGGAGGCTGAGCTCAGGATTTAGCCCCTGTGGCCTACGGCCGCGGGGCCCGGAGCGGGGCTGAGCCCGGGCTGCCCTGCGCAGTCCTGCATCCTGGCACCTCGCCTGGCCGGGGCCCCTGGCCGCCAGGATCCCGCGTATGCCAGGGCCGGCGGTCCCTTTCGCTCCTTGTGGGCTGGCGGGTTCGGCACCACTTGGGATGCCTGTGGACTGCAGCTCCTGGTGCTGTCCCAGAGCGAGGGCAGCGGGCAACTTTGCTTCATGGTACTCCGTTCCTTGTGGCCCAGCGCAGCCTGGCTGCAGCAGAARGCTGGGCCGTCCCTGCTGAGCCAGGACCTGACCCTGTCCCAGCGCCTGTCCCTGGGCAGAACCGTGGTGCCCTGCCTCTCTCCTGCTGCCTGCGGGGGCCAGCGTAGGGCTGATCCCGCTGCCTGAGATGGGGCAGAGGCCGCTCCAGTGCCAGGGGAGATGCGCTGGCCATGCATGGCAGGGCCATCGGGGAAGGCCTTTCCACTTCCCACCAACATGTGGGCCCTATTAGGAATCCCGCGCAGCTGTGGGGGGCCCATCCCCAGCGCTGGGAGCCCTGTCCCCAGCGCGAGGGTTGGGGAACCAGGCGGTGAGCAGCCCCCTTCCAGAGAGGCTGTTCCTGACTGCCGGGTGCCATCCGACCACTGGCTGGCTGGGCTGCTGCTGCTCGGATGGGCCGGGTACATTGCCGTGGTGCTTCCCCGGTGCGTGGGCAGGTTGGGAGCATCGCGGCGATGCGGTCTGGGTGCACAGGCCAGCTGGGGACAGCAAGGAGATGTCACCCGGGTGCACGGTCAGACTGGGGACGGCGGGGAGGTGTCACCCAGGTGCACGGTCAGACTGGGGCACTGGGGGATGCCAGCTGGGTGCAGAGGCCGACTGAGGGCATCGGGGCAATGCTGCCCAGGGGGCATGGGGGATGCCAGCCAGACACGCTGGGGACGTCAGCGCGATGCAGCGCAGCAGGGCTGGGAGGAGCTGCCGCGTGACAGGTCCCGGCTCCCGCAAGGCAGCAAGGCTCGGCAGCAGCCGGAACCCGCGCGCTGCCACCCCTCTGCAGCTGCACAGCAGGGCACAGCGGGCACAGGCCTCCCCCACGGCCGTGTGCTGCGTGCAGGGACAGGCTGGGACGCGGKGCCGGCGTGCCACGGGCCAGCACCAGCCGCTGCCGGGGGTTCCGTGCACTGCCCCGTCCCACCGCGCCGTGTGACGGGGGGAGCCGCGCTCCCCGGGGGCTGGTCCCCGTGCCCAAGGCAGCGCCGCTCGCGCAGGAGCCTCGCGCCAGCGCTACGCACCCGGGCCCCGTGGCCACAGAGGCCAGCAGCGCGTGGGGCGGCGCGCCACGGCGATGTGTGGGGCAATGCGTGGCAGCAGGGCACGGCCGGGACTGGCCCGCGGCTCCTGAGCAGGGCCCCTGGGCGCCGGGGCCCACACGAAGCCACGGTGCGGGGCACTGTGGCAGCATGTGCGCAGTGCTGGGGGCACCTGGCCAAGAGAGGGCTGGGGGATGTTCAAGGGGGTTGGGAATCTCCTTCCTATCACATCCTTTTTCCTTCCCACTTTCAGATGAAACCTGCCCACACGCTGACAGCAACCCAGCCAAAATGCTTTGCCACTGTGGCCAAAACGCACCACTTTTGCCCGCTCCTCGGGTATTTTCAGCCCAGAGCTGCCCGCCACTGCTGCCCTGTCGCACTTCAACCCCAAAGCTCCCACATGCTGCCCTGTCCCCAGCACAGCGCGGCACACGGGCACCCCCTCACCACAGAGGTCCTCTCACTGTCCCCTCATCCCGGGCGCGTTGCTGCGCCGTGGCCCCGCAGTGCTGGCGGCCGGGGCGGCCCGCGGGGCGCAGGGCAGCGCCACGGGACCAGGGGCCGCAGGAGCCTGGGTGCCCCAGGGGTCCGCAGGGCCCCGTCACGGCTGCGGCCTGCGGGGAGCAGGGGGCTGGGGGCGCCGAGCTGGCCCTGCAGACGCCGAGCTGGGGCTGGCGGCTCCGTCCCGTGCCCGGGCAGGCTCGGGAGCCCCGTGGCAGGGGCAGGCAGGGGCAGCCCAGCCTGGCCGGGAGCCAAGCCCCCAGTTATTTATTTTTACACATTGTACTGCGACTCCTGTTTTCTACTTTTTACCTTTTGTATCGTGTCTTGCTGAGCTGCATGTATTGGGCGCTGCTCGTAGGCCTGCACACCGGACCGCTCAGCACGGCCTGGACCCAAGTGCCAACTTCTCAAAGAAATGCCTTAATAAACCACACTTGTTTGTACGTAGATGAGCATGCTGTGCACCTCGTGCTACGTCCATGCCAGCCTCAGGGCTCCGCGTGCGTCCCGCGGTGTCCCACACCCCACGGGGGCTTTGGAGAGCAGCAGGATGACGCCATTCTCCCCAGCGCGGCCCACACTGGGCGCTCCCGTGCAGGGGCCGGACTCRCCCCGTCTGCCGGAGCCACGCGGGAAGCCCAGGGCGCGCAGGGCAGCGGGCCCAGAGGTCCCGCTCCGTCTGWGACCCCACGGGGCTCCCGCTCTACGCCCGGCCTGCAGCACAGCCAGCAGCAGATGCTCGTTAGAGTAATTAGCTGTGTCACAGACCCCTAATCTTTGCCGGCCAGACAGATCTAGCAAATAATCTCTGCGCATTTCATCCCACTTAAAAGCCCTTGCTCCAAGCTGCATCCAGCTGGGCAGCCGGGGGGGCCGCGGTGCTCCAGCTGCGCTGAGGCCTGGCCACCACAGAGGAGAGCGGAGCGGAGCGGAGCAGAGCGGAGCAGAGCAGAGCAGAGCAGAGCAGAGCAGAGCAGAGCAGAGCAGAGCAGAGCGAGCGCCCGGGCCTCACGCAGCCGCCGGGCCGGGGCTGCCCGGCGCCGGTGTCGGGATGGAGTGCGGGGCACCGGGGGCAGTGCAGAGGAGCCGCGGGAGCAGC